TTTCCCATCCCTGTGGTGCCAAAAAAAGGCTCAGGAAAGGCAGCAGCTGCCTCCTGGCCCGCATGCTGCAGGAGGAAAAACCTTTTCCCCACTTTTGGTGGTTCTCAGATGAGCAGCAACGCTCAGCTCGCCTGTGCTGGTTTGAATTTTACATCTTGYGGGGTGGTTTTTAATATTCTGTGTTTTCCTGGAGAAATGTGAGCTCTTTGATGAGTTCTTTTGCTGTGTCAAAGCAATTTTGGGACAAAAGTTAACTGAGGTGTGTTAGTTCAGACACAACATCATCTCCTAAGGTACATTGGACTTTTCCAGGTAATCCTGGACTCTTAAAATCCACCTGGGATCCCATTGCTTTGGCCMAGGTTGTTTCCTGGCCTTCACTTTGGATAAAATCCCCAGAAAAAACTCCATATTCCCCATTTCTTTGAGGTTTCCATGAGGTTCCACTGCGGGATCTTCATCATTCTTTAATAAAGAGGAATATTCATTCTGTTAAATGCAGTAAAACCCATCCATGAGCGATTCTAGAGGAATATTCATTCTGTTTACTGCAATAAAATCCTTCCATGAGCAATTCCAGAGGAATATCCATTTTGTTAACTGCAGTAAGACCCATCCATGAGTGATTCCAGAGGAATATCTGTTTTGTTAAATGCAGTAAAACCCATCCATGAACAATTCCAGAGGAATATCCATTCTGTTAAATGCAGTAAAACCCATCCATGACCAATTCCAGAGTACTCTCTGCTCCTTTTGTGGGACAGCGAGGGAATAAAGGAGACCTCCCTGTCCCGGGAACATTTCTTGGATGAGACTTTTTCAAGCTGAGGCTTTTCAAGTGACGGACGGAATCGTGACACGCCTGGAGCTGCAAATGCCAGAAACATCAGGTTCAAAATCACCCTCCAGTACAGTCTGTGACTGCTCCTGGCAGGAGGATCCTTCCAGCTGGAAAACTGCAGSATCTGAGCAGCGTGAACTCTTAAACTTTGGGAAACGCTCCTCAGAGCAGCTTAGCTCATMTCTGGGAAAGGTGGTTTATTTTTTTTCTCTTTGTTTTGTTTTTCCATCTCRAGTCTCTTCCATCATTTTGGCCGCTGTTTTACAGAACTTTGTGCTGCTCTGTGCGTCCCCAGCTGGATTCMAAACCCGGGCAGCAACGCTTGGCTCCGGCCAGCTGGGAATTAACAGCGAGGTGGGACTTCCTAAAGGGAAGCAGCCTGGTGAAATAACCCCAGCTCCGTTCTGGGCTGAAACCTGCTAATACCAGCTCTATTCTGGGCTGAAATCTGTGGATTTTTAGGAAAAAAAAACAGGAAAAAAAGCCTTTGCACTGTGCAATCCTGTTGCTAATCTGATTTCCCCGTTGCATCAGTCAGCACCGCTCGCTGCAGCGTGGGAATAATCGCTGAGCCTCATCTCCTGCTCCCCCCAGCACAGCTCAGTGCTCCTGACAGCTCTGCAGGGTGGCACGGCCCAGTCCTCGTGCTCTCTGTGCCGCCACGTGCGGCTGCGTCATTGTCCCCGTGGAGAGCGAGGCCTGGCATTCTGGATTATATTCTATGTATTCTATATAGACTGTATATTCTATATATTCTATATATTCTATATATTCTATATATTCTATGTATTCTGTATTCTAATATATAATATATGTTACATCTGATATATTCTATTTTCTGTATTCTATATTCAATATTCTATGTTCTCTATTATATATTCTACATTCTATATGCTACATTCTAATATATAATATGTATTACATATGATATATATGATATATTGTATGTGATATATATTCTCTATTCTCTATTCAATATACTCTATTCTGTATTCTCCATTCTAATATATAATATGTGCTAAATGTGATATATATGAGATATATTCTATATTCTGTACTCTGCATTCTATAGTCTATTCTATATTCTATTTTATGTATTATACATTATGCATGATTTGTTATATATTATATGGTATATAGTATATAGTATATAGCATATAGTATATAGTATATAGTGCATAGTGTATATTATATATTATATGTTTTGTTATATATTCTATAGTATGTGCTATAATATATACTATATAGTTTATACTATATTTTATATTATATGGTACATAATATATTACTATATTACTATATTGTATATTATTGTGTATATAATATATCATATATCATATGTATTTATATATCATATACTTTATATATAAGTAAATAGATATATACAAAATATGTATATATACACACTACATATACATTTTGTGTATATGTATGTACATATATATTTTGTGTATATATATAGATATACATATATATACACACATATATACATATATATATATATATATATATATANATAGTATATAGTATATACCATATAGTATATAGTGCATAGTATATATTATATGGTATATGGTATATAGTATATACCATATAGTATATAGTGCATAGTATATATTATATGTTATATATTATATGTTATATATTATATGTTATATATTATATGTTATATGTTATATGTTATATGTTATATATTATATATTATATATTATATATTATATATTATATATTATATATTATATATTATATATTATATATTATATGTTACATGATATATTATATAGTATATGCTATAATATATACTATATAGTATATACTTTATTTTATATTATATGGTACGTAATATATTACTATATTACTATATTGTATATTATTGTGTATATAATATATAATATATCATATATATTTATATATTGTATACTTTATATATAAGTAAATATATATATATGCAAAATATATATATATACACTACATATAAATTTTGTGTATATATATGTACATATATATATACATATATATAGTGTATATATATATATATATACACACACACACAAAATGTATATATAAATAAAAAATTTATTCTAATAACTTAGGGAGCGACATCCCAAGTTCCAGGTGGGCCTGGAAGGGTTTTAGGTGCTTTCCTGATCCCTAAATCCTGTATGGATCCCTAAATCCTGGCTCAGAGCAGCGCGGGAAGAGTCTGGAAGAAGCGCAGCCTCCAGTTCCTTGGAGCGCCCGAGCAATTAATTTGGGCAAGCAGGGAGTTGCACGCGCGGTAATTAACGGGGAAAGCACCTCGGGCCAGCCTAACGAGGGGGGCGTGGGTGGCCTTCGTTTGGAGATGATTCCACGTAATTAGAGCCATTTACCTGGCTGCATCGATGTCACGGCAGCGTGGGCGCCACGGGGCAGGGATTCTGCGCTGCCCCGAAAGGTGCCCGCCCTGGGGCACCCCAGATCCCCGTCAGCTCGGAGCTGCTGCCAGCTGCCATCCCGTCCCAGGGCTCTCCGGGTGCTCAGCCCRTTCCCTTCCTTATATAGGGCTGGATCAGTGCTGGGCACTCACGGGATGGGAATAAAACGGCTTTGGGAGCGAAGAGGAGCTGACAGGGGCTGAAATAGGGACTTGTACCAACACCAGCCTGGGCTTGGTGCTGTCATTTTGGAGCTCGGGAATAGGGTTTGAATATCAAACTCACCCCAATGGAACCCCTGCACCCCCTTGATTTACAGGAAAAATCCGGTGATTATGTATATCCAAACATTTTTAGCGTAATTCACTATTTGAGAGCATTTTTCCTATGTTTTTATTTCTTAATGTTAGGAGAATTAATTTCTAAATATTACAGGTTTATGTCTAAAAAGGAGACAGAGGAGTTTTCTAACTTTATTTGAACAAAAGGAGAGATCATGGGACATTTTCATGGGATCTCTAAAACTGTTAGAGGATTCAGCCTCTATTTTAATTTTCTGGTTGTATTTCTCTCTTTCTCTCCCCATTGGCTGAGGTACTTGAGAGGTACAGACTTTWCAAATTGTTTAATATAGATTCTTATTTAATGTGCATCCTCCCCCTTTCTTATTCTTTGTGTCTTTGGGGTTTTTTTTAGTTTAGGGATTTAGTATTGTTTTGGGTGAGTAACAGTTTGTGTTAATTGGTGGAATTTCTATGAAAGTTATGAAGTTCTTTTTTTAATTATTAGTATTTGGCCTTATTTATTAGCAGACTATAACTTATTTGTAAAAACATCTCCCTCTCATTCCTTTYACTAGGAAGAAACAAATTCTGCATTAATTAAGCAGTTCTGGTCTCAGAATCTTTAGGAGATACTGAATTTTGTCTGGTTGAATTCGCAGYGTATCTTGTACAAAATGAGGAGTTTCACAGTGTATCTTATCCAGAATTATGAATGTTCTGCTTAAAAATATTTGTGGAAATTTTGTTTGGCGTAGTCAGATATGATCAAGGTAAAACTTTATCTCTGTGCCTGGTCTGTCCTTGATGAATTTATCAACAAGTTCAGGAATCAGCTGGCACATACCTGTCCTAGAAAGTCCCAGCCTAAAACAGTGACGTGGGCGAGACATGGCAGGAATTAAGAACAGAGTTTGGAATCATTTAAATTCAGTTTCGTGTTTGCTCTCGTTAAAAAAAAAACAAAAAAAAACCAAGGGTGATACCTGGAAAAGAAAGATTTGAAGGAGAGATTAGGGGTGATGGAGAGGGCTGCAGGAATGGAAAGTGAAGAAAAATGGAGTTGTTTTTGTTCTGGCACCTTCCAGGAGCTTTGCAGTTGCTCGTTCTGTGTTTTTTTTCCGAGGTGGGAGCAGGTACGGCAAGGAGGAGGTGAGGGGGTGTTTTCATTCTTACCTGGCTGTACCTGAACCATTCCTCACAAACCAAGAGTGGGTGAACATGGAACAACTTGGAAACATTTATTTTTAATTTTTTTTTTTTTTGGGGGGGGGGGGTAGTGACTCACTGCAACTTACCCAAAGTGACCTGATTTAGTTAAATGAGGCTAAAAATAACCCATGTGAAAAGTACTGACATGTGGGAGGAGACGCCAGAGTTGGCACTCAGCCCCTCGCTTCTGCAGGGAACATCTTTCAYGACTGGTGACTAATAATTTTTTTACTCTTGCTGGCTTTGGAAAAAGAACAATCCCTGCTCATTTTCCACCCTCCCCCTCGTAGGGAAAGGAGGGAAATGCTCCGGGCTTAACRCTCCTCTCTGAATTGCAGCTCTCTGCTATGGACAGTGCCATCACCCTGTGGCAGTTCCTCCTCCAGCTGCTCCAAGAGCCCCAGAACAAGAATATCATCTGCTGGACCTCCAACGACGGCGAGTTCAAGCTGCTGCAGGCAGAAGAGGTGGCCAGGCTCTGGGGGATCCGCAAGAACAAGCCCAGCATGAACTATGATAAACTCAGCCGGGCGCTGCGCTATTACTACGTGAAGGTAAACTGGAAATGCTGCTCCGATCTTGGTCTGATCCTGCTCTGATCCTGCCCTAATCCTGCTCCGATCTGGCTCTGATCTTGCTCCAGTCATGCTCCAGTCCTGTCCCCATCCTGCCCCAATCCTGCCCCGATCCTGCATCACTCCTGCCCCAATCCTGCGCTATTTCTGCTCCACTCCTGCCCCAATCCTGCCCCACTCTTGCCCCAATCCTGCCCAAATCCTGCTCGAATCCTGCCCCACTCCTGCCCCAATCCTGCCCCACTCCTGCCCCTGTCCTGCTGCACTCTTGCCCCACTCCTGCTCCAATCCTGCCCCAATCCTGCCCCAATCCTGCCCCGATCCTGCCCCAGTGCTGCACCAATCCTGCCCTGATCCTGCTCCAGTCCTGCTCCAATCCTGACCAAATCCTGCTCCAATCCTGCCCCACTCCTACCCTAGTCCTGCCCTGTTCCTGCCCTGTTCCTGCCTCATTCCTGCCCCGTTTCTGCCCCATTTCTGCCCCAATCCTGCCCTGATCCTGCCCCAATCCTGCTCCAGTCCTGCCCCAATCCTGCCCCACTCTTGCCCCACTCCTGCCCTGATCCTGCCCCACTCCTTTCACAATCCTGCCCCACTTCTTCCCCACTCCTGCCCCACTCCTTCCCCACTCCTGCCCCACTCTTGCCCCACTCCTGCCCAGTCCTACCCCACTCCTGCTCCATTTTAGCGGCCTAAGGAGCTTTGTTTGCTCCTGCGTTCCCTCCTCCAGTGGAGGGGTGTCACTGCTGCCTCTCTGCCAGGTTTAAGGAAGTTGAGCTGCTTTGTTTAAAGGTGTTGTGTTGGTTTTTGGTTTCGTTTATCGTTGTGCTGTTTCCTCCTCTGTTGTGGTGGATTTGTTCAAAGTATTGTCTCGRTGTCTTTGCTAATCCAAATCTGCCTTGGGATCCTAATCCCCTTTCCAAAAATACCCACCCTTGTAAGAGTTAAAATCCTCAGTGCTCCAATTAAAGCAGCACTGGAGAGGAGGAGGATGATGATGGAGAGGGTGATAATTGCACCGCTTCCAGATCTTTTTGCAGCTTTCAAAATAAAGCTTTTTCAGCCCAAACTATTTTCTGGTCATATTCAGAATTTCCCCTCTTSTTTGCCCAGCTCAGCCCAGCAGAGTGAGGAGCTTTTGTTTACCCGATGTCTTCGAGTCTCACCTTTGTTTCCCTTCAACCCACTCCCAGCCGTTCTGGTGCGAGTGCAGCAGATAAAAATAAACCCCCAGCTCCCGAGMAGCCTCAGCTCGGAGCAGGTGGGAAGCTGCCTCTCTTTGTGACTGGGTGGCACAAATCTGCCTCGGCGTTCTCCGAGATCTCGGCAGCGATCGTGGGATGATAAATAAGGATAATCTCCAGTCCAGAAAGTGTGTGTGGCATTTCGCCGAGGAGCAAAACAAGTTTGGCAGATGCTGGGTTGTGGTATGGAAATGGCTGATTAGCCTGAGTTCTGCTGACTCGTTCAGCTGCTGATTTTCCTTTATTATCATCTTATTAAGAATAAAGGTGGTTGGATTTGAAGGACGAGCTCTCAATTCTGCAATCATGGAAAAACACTTTAACCCTTTCAGTTCTATTAAATTACTCTTTGTGTATCCAGCTTGATGGAGGTAATGGGTATTTTTTATTTAATTTGAGATGTTAAACAGGATTTCCTGGCCCTTTTTGGGGTTTTTTTTCTATTTTTAATGTCAGGCTAAACTCACCTGTTGCAGCGTTTCRTCTGCCAGCTCCTGGAGCAGAACTGGAACGCGCAGGGTGTTTTTAAAACAGGAAAGAAAAGAAACTTTCTTTTTTTTTTTTTCTGAAAGATTACAGGCTTTAATTCCTCTGCCTATTTTAGGCAGTGTTTGTAGGAAGAAAATTAATCTGCAGAAAGTCTAAATATACTCACCCTCTTCCCTCCCAGAACATCATTAAGAAGGTGAACGGGAAGAAGTTTGTGTACAAGTTCGTGTCGTACCCGGAGATCCTCAACATGGACCCGCTGGTCGTGGGCAGGATGGAGGGAGATCCCGAAATTCCCGGCTTTGGGGACGTCACCGGCGCTTCCAAGGACACGGAAAACTGCGGGAAGGAGAAATCGCAGACGTGCCCGAAATCCTCCAGCCGCAACGACTACATCCACTCAGGCCTGTACTCCTCGTTCACCCTCAACTCCCTCAACTCCTCCAGCGTGAAGCTCTTCAGGTCCATCAAGATTGAGAACCCGGCTGAGAAGCTGGCGGAGAARAAACCTCAGGAGCCCACCCCGTCCGTCATCAAGTTTGTCACCATGCCCTCCAAAAAGCCGCCCTCGGCCCCGCTGGTCTCCACCACGGCGGCGGTGGCCGTCACCTCCGTGGCTTCCTCCGCGCCCGCCGCCTCCTCCTCGCTGCCCCTGGCGTCCGAGGACACCCTGCAGACCCTGGAGACGCTGGTCCTGCCCAAAATGCCCGTCCCCGAAGCTCCTCCGGCGCCTCTGGCCAACCTGAGCGCCRGCTTCGCCCCGACCCCGCCCATGGCGTCGGTGTCACCCGCCCTGCAGGTGCCCTCCACGCCGCCCTCGCCGCCGCTGAGCTCCAACCCCGAGCTGGACATTGACACGGACATGGAGTCGGTGGCCTCGCAGCAGCTGGAGCAGGCGCAGAGCCTGCAGCAGCAGCAGCAGCAGCAGCAATCCCCCGAGCACAAGGAGCAGGATTCGGCTGGGCTGGAGAAGGAGTTCGCCAATCACCTGTCCAGGTCCAAAAAACCCAAAGGGCTGGAGCTGGCCCCAACTCTGGTCATCACGGGCAGCGACCCGAGCCCTCTGGGCATCCTGAGCCCTTCCCTCCCCACTGCTTCTCTGACTCCAGCACTTTTCTCTCAGGTGACTAAATTCCCTTCCTGTTGCCTTTTTTTGGGGTTTTTTGTTTTAAACTAACCATGGTGATGATGGAAAAAAGTGGGAAACAAAGAGTTGGTTGTGATTTGAAGGCGTGATTTTAAACTCAGGATGTCACTCCCTGGGTTATTACATGATACACATTTTATACATATGTTTATATATATACATATAAAAATTGGCATATAACATACATACAATGTATAATATACAATATATAATATATATTATATATAATATATAATATACAATGTATAGTATATAATATATAATATACAATATATAATATACAATATAGAATATACAATATATAATATACAATATATTACATATAAATATATATATTGTGTATATAATTAATACATATAATGTATGTAAT